TGTCACTGCAGCTCTGCTCTGATTGGCCGATCGCTCCTTCAAAGGTTTCACACTGATGACCAGCTGACAGACCACAGCACAGAGCTTTGACTGACAGGCAGACTGCTTCAGGTCACATGACAGTCATGAGTGTAAGGAAGTGGGATCAGTGCATCTAGATGTGTTGACCTGTGTTACATGAATATATATATTCATATATATATATATATATATATGCACATATATATATATATATATATATGACACATCATATACACACAAACATACAACACACACAAATCAGCTGTTGGTATAAACATGGTTATATTTGTTGAAGTGTCTCCAACCAGATGCAGAAGACTGATAATAAAAGGCTGGTTCTCGACCCCGATGAGAACACACACACATACCGGTGATGATGATGTAACACACACACAGCACACTAGGTGTTTGTGCAAATGTGGCAGAAAAAGCAGAGAGAACCCAAACACATCAAAGAGCATCATCATCTGTGTGTGTGTGTATGTGCCCTGCTGAGGAACACACACACAGCCCAGGCAGCAGCCATAAAAAAAAAGCTGATCAAAGGTCAGTGACCTCTGGAGGAAACATTAGGTTTGATATGTTATTGGTGAATTTTGTTATTAATTTGTTGATTGTATACTTTTTGATGTTCTTCACATCATTCATGGAATTTCAATGTTTTTAAAAAGTCAAACAAACAAATATCTGCTCTGACTCCTGTGTAAAATGTGGCTAAAAGAAAACTAAACTAAACTTTCACTAATCCCATTTTAGTCTTAGATTAACTAAGGCTCATCAGATTTAATCTCATCTCGTTTTTTTTTTCCTCATCCTGGTTCAACTGAACATCTGAACTTTTCATCTCCTACCCTGGTGTTGACGTTGACGTCAGCTTCTGTATTCTAACATTGTCAAAGGAGCTGAAGTAAAAAGACAACCTTCACATTTCTTTTGAATCATCCAATAAACTGAACACACACATATCCCACTGTCAGTGCTTAACCTCCTCCACAGCTCAAACATTAAATGACAACCCACAGACCTGTAGTCCACAGACCAACAGAACCTCCAGAACAGAGTGAATGAACTCGTGAACCAGGACAAGGTGAGCAACCAGAGAGTGAGCATGAGAAGATGTGGAGTCTTCAGGGTCAACCTTAGGTCTATTCCACTGTCAGTGAAGCTCAAATAAAAGCCTGGCATGAACCATGAATTATGGAGGGAGACCAACATGAACCAATATGATGCTGCTGCTGCACCAAGATATGAATTATTGAGGGATGTAATTAGCTGATGTGGCTTCAGCATCATCTCTGAGGACCAGAGGTTCTGTCACAGTCAGGACCAGGTCAGGTGACATGTTTCAGTGTGATTGCATTTATATAATTTTTGTTTAGCTATTTTTAATTTGTTAAAATTATTTTTACCCCTTTATTTAGACCTTACCTTTAGACTATCTTTGTGTGTTGTTTTTTTTCCACTTCCTGTGATTTTCTTTTCTTTATCTGCACACAAATCTGTCACTTTCTTTCTGCATTTTAACTCTACGTCAACTCCAGAAACAGCTGTGTTTTCTGAATATCATCCTGACCATGTGTGAGGAGAACAATAAGGAGCTGCCCACCCAGGAGGAGAAAGAGGAGGAGCAGGAGGCAGAAAAGGAGGAGGATGCTCTGTGACCTGGATTTGAGAGCAGGAAACTGTTAGAGGGAGAGGGTCACCATGGCAGTGACAACAGCACGGGCTAGTGCAGGGGAAAGGAATCACTCACATGCACACACACACACACACACACATTTTTGTTGATGTGCAGGTTAATAGAGCAGAGCAGTTGCACTGATGCTCTGTGTCTAATCTCCTGCCAAGAAAAAAAAATGCAAACATGTACATCTGACCTGGTAAATGCTGTTATTTACTGTGAGTTGATCTTCACACACGAGCTGAGTGAGTTCCCAAAGCTGCTGAGTCCTTAAAGAATCTCAGCGGTCACTGAGAGGAAGAAGTCCTGGAGGTTGATATGACAGAATATGTCCTAAATCAAAAATATTTTTGGTTTCATTTGAGTTTGTGCTTTTATTTTTAGACTTATGACTGGCTTCAAATATAATCAGAAAACAGTTGTAACTATTTACTAAGCACAACTATTCCAGGAATAAAATGTAAACGTTGGTAACTTCAGCTGCTTCTGCAAATGTTCCAAGGATAATTTTAGGCTGTCTTTTTTGGCCAAACTGACCTTTTTTGATGAATTTGAAGTCAGCAATTAGGAGACGTTAGGCTATATGGGCTAAACCTTAAACTTTCCTCCTGAACAACTTTTCTCTGGGACCAACTTCAGTCAAGTCTAGTGATTCAGGTCCAAATATTTAGTTCTGTTCTAAAAGTTATTCTATGTAATTAATTATTTGTGTTGTTCAGCTAACACTGGTTAGCTACTTCAAACCATGAGATGAAGTGAAGGAGTAAACACAAACACTAAAGCAAACACAGCCTGGATGGTTTTTTTTCATATTTGATTATTGTCTCTTCATGACGCTGAGCCCTGGAGGCGACTGAACTCTGCCTCGTATGTAAGTGTCCTGATGTCCTGACTTTTCTCCTCCATCACATAGCTCCTCCTTCTTTCCATTTCTTAATGCTTATTCCCTCCTCTCTCTGCTCATGCTCAGCCAGGCGACAGCGTGTTAATGCTCCGCGGCACAATCTACGGCTCCGAGTCACAATGCGAACAAGCTTTGGGCAGTGACCGCACAGCGACCTCCCTCTGCATCACTGATGCTGCTGCTGCTGCTGCTGCACACAAGTGCAGTTCTGTGCAGGGCCAGTTCAGGCCAAGGAAAGAGTTGATGGGGTGTTTAGGGGAAGGTTGAATTTGGTTACATTGAAATCCGTACAACAAAATGTGATTAGAAAACAAAAAAAAACTTTACTATCAGGCCAAAGACTCCAACTTCAATTTTGTAAAGACAAAAGTGAACCTGAGGCGCCATCCCTGCAGAACCTCTGAAGAGGATCAACAAAACCGTTGTTTGTCCAATAACTTTGCAGAACAAACTGCTTTTAAGGAGGTAAGGTAGAGTTTTTCCATGTCCTCTGGTGAATTTCTTCTTATCATCTTGTCTCTGGTCGAGTCCTTTAACGCTTGTAGCTTTACAAACTAATGATAGCACAAGCACCGATCAAATTACCAGCCATTAGCAAACTGAATTAGTCCTTTGGGGAATTACTGTACAGTACTTCTAAAAAATAATGAAATAAATAAATAAATAAAACTCTCTCTCTCACAATGCAAACTGATAAACCGTTGGTCAGCTACCAACGCACCGTAACCACCGCCGATTAAAAACAGATGGGCTGCCATTGGATGATGTCAGTGACCAATGGGAGCATCTGCTGCCAGGATGCTGAGACATGATCTCACATTCATCCTCGCCTTAAGCAGGTTTGGATAGCTGTGAACATCCTGATGCTAATCTGCCCAGCACCGACTGCATTTAGACACACACACACATTTTCACTGTAGTTTTTTCACTAATGTGCATTAAAGAAGCAAAGGCACATGGAGGGTGGACATCTTTAAGCATCAGATAAACAGTAGTTACTATGTTCAGATTTGATTCCACCACATGTCAGAAAGCTTTTAAAGACCACACACACACACACACAGTGTTTGACTCCATATACAGAAACCAGAGTCACACAGCTGTCAGAGGTCGGTCTGATGGGACTTGAACTGAAAAACCGAACATGAAAGAGCTTCTACAGTGAGACTTTATCACGCACCACTGACATGTGACCCAGGTCGAAGGAAGTTAAAGAGGCTGCAGTAAGGCCAAGCTATCGACCTTTCCACATTCAAACACACACACACACACACACATATATATACATATATAAACACACACGTGGACTCACCTTTTCAGTGCAAACCTGCTCAGGTCACAGTCGTAGCTGCAGAGCCACATTGTGACATGGACCCAGGCTCTGGAGGGTTGGAGCAGAGAGCCACGGCTCTGTGCTCTGTCCTTGACCTTTGACTGGAGCCTGATGGTACAGAGTACAAAACAACAGTTCACAGAGTGGAACAAAACAAGTTGAGCGAGTGATTCTTAAAACCCATAACAAAAGTTATTCAGGCTTCAAACTGCTCACCCACTGACAGAAGATGGAGCTAACCATGAGCACCGTGGTAGTTCCCTTAGCAGTCTAAGCCAGTCCATAGCTGAGGTCTGCAAGCTCAACCACCAGGGGGCATCTTTATCATTTTAGTTCCAAATCAAATTGATCACGTGTGGACTGTTCCAGTGATGGCAGTGGTTCAGTGTTGAAACCTGTTTTATATGACACACCTGATCTTGCCTTAAAGAGGAACAGTGGCTGTGTGTTTTAACTTGTGTCTATATTAAGAGGAATATTGTTTTCTTTGTTCCAATAATCTCCTCCTACTTGAGAAGTGAAGCTCTATAAACTTTCTGCTCCCAAGTTCTACAGTTGCCATGGAAACTGACAACAAAGGCAGGACAGGGAGGCATGGAACAAAACACAAAACCAGGTAATGTTATATAGAAATATAAACCATACATGTATATACTGTATATAATAATCATACAGCGTCTAAAAATCTGAAGTATTTGATAAAGTATAATTTGTATTAAAAGGTCTCGTACTGAGTCTAGAACAGGGTTTCACCTCCGTGCGTTAAATGCTAAACACTTAAAATAGATAAGTAAAACAAAAAATAACTTTTTGAAAATATTCGACAACTTTTGTCTTTTAAAGTATTTTAATTCTTTTTTCTTTTTTTACTCGCACAGGAAACCATCCGGAAGTGATTCGAAACACGGAAACGCGCCCCCCTGTGTTCAGGCTGTAGACAGCGTGGACGTCAGCGTCAAACCACGGGTAATTCACATTCAAACTCGAGTAAAAAAAACAGTAAACACAGAACGAGGGAAAAATTGGACAGAAATATAAACATTAATACACGAGGGAAAAATTGGACAGAAATATAAAGATTAATACAACATTGTCCTCAAAAATAAAACAGGTATTATGTCTGTCTCTTCATTGTAGGTGGTTATGGTTGTTGACTGAAATTATACGCAGCCCCTAAAGGGACCTGGGAAACAAACAAACAAATAAATAAACCAATAAACGTTTTTTGGTGCTCAACCTTAAGTTTCAGATAAGCACGCGAAACTTTCTGGTTCGCACCAGAAAATAGCCGACTGCATTCCCATGATAATTCTTCATTAATTTTATTGCAAGGTTATGTTGTGACCGAAAGATATAAATAATTCTCACACAAAAAGTTTCGGCGGGAAACATCGCTTTGGCGTAAACAAAATGCAAAAATAGTGGAAGAAGAGGTTCGCTTACTCACAGACAGCGATTCCGCTACCGTGCCCACCTGAACCGTACAGGTAAGAACCAGAAACGTTTTCCCCACATCCCTTCAAGGACTTCGTAATAAAAACGTATTGATTGAAATGTATTTTATTCTAAATGTGGCATTTTACTATTAGGACATTTGTGCTAGGTGTGTGTGTGTGCAAATGTTAGAATTAAACAACATTAGAACTTCCTGCCAAACAGTTTCGGTAGAAATAAATTTGGCTGCAGATCATTTCTTTTGAAGAATCTATCGAGATAGATAAAAAATATCTCCAGTTACCTCCAGAGTGTTCTCCTTCAATCCTGCAGCAGCTCAGCGGTATGATGACGTCATCAGGTGCTCACGTTGCACAAGTTAAAGGGAGAGAAATGAAGTGGCTCGTTTAGACTCTTTTCACTATTCAAATGTGATTTTTAATTGACAGGGGAAAAAAACCATCCAAACACGTCAACAGTTTGAGAAACAAACCTTAAGTTGCTGATTGTTTCAAGCTTTCCACGGGAGTTTGTGTCTGACAAAGAGACAGACAGGATGATGACAGGTTGATTGTATTTCACAGCCTTGCAAAAATCTGTCTGTGTTTACCAGTTATCCTGAGTTCTGTCCAAGGACACACAGGAATCTGGTCGGCTCACTGGACCACCCTCCTAACAGCCACACTGGGAAATGTAGTCAAAATTCAAAATATTAAGAAGCTAGTTAACAGTACATTTGATGTCATAAGGCCTTAAAGTACTGTTCTACAGTGTACCCCAAGAAAATGATTTTTTTTAAACCCAATATAAATAATATACTTGTTTAAGGTGATGTTACCTTTATTTATTTATTCTACTTTCTGCCAGTCAACCCCGCAGCTCAAAGATCTTTGCTTTAAATATATTGGGAAAGAGGTTTCATTTAAAGAATCACTCTTTTAACAAAACTATTCCAGTGGGGAAAAAAAGCTAAAATGCTCCAGAGAGAACAGGGAACTTGACTTGTTAACACTGACAGACCACCTCTGTGATTCGTCCTCCAGGGTCTGTCCTCACTGCACATGCTCTGTCTGTATGGCCAGCTGGCTGAGCTTCAGCGTCTTCTGTCGTCCTCGTCTGCAGGAGCAGCTCAGATCAACAGCAGAGATTCTCAGGGTCACCGACCTCTCCACATGCTCATGTCCTCCCAGAGCTCCCCTAGAACATCAGCCTGTCTTAGGGTTCTGCTGGAGAATGGAGCTGAAGCTAATGTGTAAGTCACAGCTCTTTCATTATTATTATTATTTAGATTTCCATAATTTTAATTTTTTTTTACATTGATTTTTTTTCTATATTAACCAAACCTTGGTCATCTCAACCCCTCTCTGAGAGGTTTAACGTGGTCAACATGATCACTTCTGTCTGGTCTGCTGGTCCATGATATTCATTGTCCTCAGAACCTCAGATGTGGGTCAAACACCACTCCACATGGCAGCTTCTGAAGGTCTCCTGAACTGTGTAGAGATCCTAGTCCAGGCCGGCGCTGATGTTACGCTCCAAGATACTATGGGACACACTCCACTGGATATGGCCCGCATCTGGTGTCACAGAAAGGTAGCAAGGTAACTAACTGTTAGAGAAATTAGCTCTGGAACCAAGTAATAGGTATATAAATTTAAATCTGATTCTGCAGGCTGGTCCACTGACAGGCCTTACACTTGGCCCATTCACAACATATGGTTTCAATCTGTCAGTGGCCCATATCTGGTGTAGAGACCAGCTTACCAGTCCCAAAGCAGAGATATGGTACAAGTTTGACAGAGATGTGGCCCACATACCAGAGTTGGCTCTTGTCATTTTGTTGGCCTTGGCTGGATTATGAATTGGTGCCCTCTGTAGATCCTATTATAACTGTCTGTCTGTCTGTAGATACCTAAAGAGCTGCATGTGGGAGGAAGCAAAGAAGAAAGAGATGAAGGAGATCAGGCGAGCCAACGTGTTATACACTGATCTGGTGGCCATGGTCAAATTCAGTGATGTCAGCCCAAAGGTATGAAACCCTTTAATGCTCCTCATGCTTTATCTAAGATTTTAAGTGTCTGATCTCACTTCCGGTGATTCCAGACACAAGAAGAAAAGATGTCAGAGACAAGTAAGCAGAAGAGTCACCCAAAGCACACTAAAGTCCCGGTGAGTCAGTACCATGTCCAGTGTCTATCATTAAATGAGGACAGACCTCACCAGGAAAGAAAGAGTTTGAAGAAGGAACAAAACAATCTTCAGAAGATCGATGTCTCAAAGATACCGCCTGACTTACAGTTTAAGAACATTACCACCAGCCTTCAGCGCAGGTCAACCTCAGAGCCAGACCTCAGGGACAGTGTGACCCTGTGGAAGGACAGGCACAGCGGGCGTCCTCAGTACACAACCAAGTGGAACTGTGTCCCTCAAACTGCTCCTGATCTACCTTTGAATGTCCTGAAGAAGGTATTGTTCCCCAAAGCGTTCCCATCCAGGATCCTCGGCTCCCAGGATTTCCAGCCACAGAACATCTCAGAGGTCCAGCACAAAGGACGCTCTAGGGGGCGCAGCACCTCCACCTGGACTGAGGTAGCCATGCACCTGGTACACATGCTGGAGCCTGGACACTACTGAGTGGATCAGGTGTTGTCAACCAAGAATCATCATCTACTTACCTGTTGGGTTCAAAAGTTCTTGGTCAATATTTTAACAGCTTTTAAAAATGACAGAGAAAAAACTACAATGAGTGAAGACTTTACCTGCAACATCATTCAGAACAGACTATGACAAGACGGTTCTTGAGGAACATTTCACTGTAGGATCATCTCATGTTCTCGTAGCTCTGAGATATGACTTAAAGTTAATAATTACATTAATACCTAATTATTTCAACAAAACCTTTTATTGTTATGATACAGTTGTGTATTACCCAGCCTGACCACCACAGATTCAAAACATCTTGGGTTTTTTTTCTCCCATCAACTCCTTTTGAGCAGCTTTTTGTGCCCCTCACCTTCAGGAGTCACTGCACAAGTTCAGTCTTCAAAGTGTTTTTTTTTCCTTTGTTGTTGATAAAGAAAGTACAAAAATGTTTGTTATTTTGCAACGTCTTCCTAAAACATATCCATAGAGACAGAGAGCTGTTGTAAATTGATGCAATGAATGGAGAATGTTTGAGATTTCAACATTTAGGAGGAAATGTCACATGTCATATCTATGGCCTGATGTGGATGATTAAAAAAAAAAAGAAAGATTTGTTTCTGCCTTTTAAATTAATTCCACCAACTTTCAAGGGGCTCCGCAGATTAGATTTCTGCATCTCACCACCGCTCCAGAAAAAAAAAGTGTAAACTCCAGCACTTCAGAAATTGACCTTCGACCCTTCTGATTCTGCTGGGACCAACAACAGTATGGTGTCTCCTGTTCAATCAGCCAGAGTCACACAGCTGTTTAGCGGTGATTTCTTTTCCCAACCTTGCAAACATTTTTGACATTTTATTCCAAGTGTTTAAAAAAATGGAGTCACAATTAGAAAGAACTGCACCTAAGAAGATCTCTGCCTCAGAGTGGTCTCCTGTGGATGGTCATGGCAGTCAGCACAGACCACCACAGACAGAGGTGGTCTGTGTAAACTTGTCCATCGTCAAACTGTTTCCCTTCAATGGTTCGTTCTCTTGGTGTGCCCTTCTCCCCGGTTTGGCTTCTGCTTTGTTTTCAGTCCACAGTCGTTCCCCTTTACCTCCAACACACACATTCATACGTAACCAAACCCACCCCCTGCCCCGGATCCCCTCACACCTGTAGCCCGAGTCTCAGCTCTTTAGTACATTTTCTGCCGACTGGGCAGCACTGCCTCCTTGAGGAAGGAGAAGATGAGGAGGATCCCTGACCTCTTTCCCCTCTTTCCCCTGGTGAAGTAATTAGACACCACGTCATCTGAAAAGGTGGAGGTACAACAGTACAATCAGGCAAACATGTACAAAAGTCACTCCATGTAGGGCTCTATCTGGACTACTAACATATAATAATACTATATATATATATATATACATATATATATATATATCTATACACCATACTATATATATATGTATGTATCTTGATTTGTTTTTATTAAATCACATGTTGGTTTCCAGCTCTCACCTCCTTGCTGCATGGTGGATGGCAGCACGTTTTCTCCGGCTGACAGAGAAACAAAGAAGGCAAACGGGATCACCCACAGGCAGATCGTGAAGTAGGCCAGTACCTGGGAATCACATGGTTCAGTTACACATTTAACCAAAGAGAAAAATCAGATTTTTATCATAACTCATACAAAAATATTTTATAAAAGCTCAGTGTTAATTCTTATAGTCAAATCAATTATGGGTGCACACACACTAGGGCCAGTTGTGCTCAGTACCCCACAGAAGTGAAAAGGTGAAGCGAGCTGAAGCCCCGTTGCCTCCAACAAATACATCAGTTGTTAATATGTGGTTAACGCAGCACGATCGAGAACAAATCTGACAACAACGGCTGCTCTGTGAACTATCTTCAAAACAGCCAGCCGGCGCCATGTCTTGATTTATCCACTCTTTGAGGCACCGATTTGCACATTTTCGCAGAGGCAGCAGGAGACGTACTGAACAGAGATTGTGAGCATGTTTGGCCCAGTGTTCTGCACTTTGGCCCACCACTTCCAACTGCACAGAGCAGTTGGACTCACACTAGCAATATAATCTGAAACTTTAGGGAGCAGCACGCTTGGGTGCCATACAACGGCCCAAGTGCACCCTATGATTGGGTCATTGTTAGTATTAATAAGTATAAATAAGTGGAGGTGTAACTTAGTCTTAGTGACATTGTAGTCACTCTCATCGTAGAGTGAGTGAGAGAAAGAGAGAGCAGGGGAGTCAACAAACACTGTCCTTAGAGTCACTCACCTCTGAAAATGGATAGTATTCTTGTGCAAAGTACTGGAAGGCCATGTAATGGTTCACCACCACCAACACTGGGGGAAACAGAGGGAAGAGAATTGTAGCTGCACATGTAACAAAAACTTCTTTGTTTGAAGTAATAAATGGATAAAATTGTGAAGTTGGTTTCTGCTGTACTGACCACAGGAGAGGATGAAGTTGGGTGAGCTGAGCATTATATAGGGGAAGGTCTGCAGGAGGCCAAAGTAGACCAGGTTTGTGAAGAGACCCACCCCCACCATCAGAGCAGGAAAGCCCTCAAAAACATAGAGAGCTGCCAGCACTACGGTGGAGAACTGTGCACAGAGACGAGGACACAGAAGCTTCAGTTTGGCTGAGTTGATTCTTAATTAAATACAGATGATACCTGGACTCACCAAGATCATGTACTTTATGATCCGACTGGTGGCTACTGTGTATTCTTCTATTAGTTCTGCCAAGTAGTAAAGGCCAGCAGCTGAGTGTGGGGACATCAACAGAATGACAAAAAACAAATGTAACAATTTCATTTTTGAACATTTTTAATAATCACAAAATAATAATAATAACAGACAGGTGATTATATTATTTAACTATTGGTTACCACTTTTTGGTAAATAAATTAATACAAAATTATACATTTAAGAACAAATAATTTAAACAATATTTAAGTTAAAACCACCAAATAACATTTGGACATGGTTTGACTTTTGTGCTACGTCCCCCAGCATTCATCAGGCAGAGATAACTAGTAGCTACAGATAACAGTGACCTCAAAGTCCAAGAACAGCAATACACTAACGGTACAAACCCACCTTGGTGGGGCTAGTACTATTTTCATCTACACACAAACTGCTGATGAGGTGAGACAATAAAGAGAAAAGTTTGTAGAATCCAGGTGAGATTAAATTCATTCAAACACTTCAATTCACAATGACAACCAGAAGACGTAAAATAACCAGTCGGTTCTGTTGCTGGTGAATGTGAGAGCTTCGTGTCAACACGACGAGCAAATACGTGACAGTGTGAATGATGTGTGATTAAACATTGTGCTCGTCAGCCACACCTGTGTCAACTGACAAGCTCTGTTCATCGAGAAGTACTGAAGCAAAGTCAATGTGAACGAAACGACTCTGATCACTTTTTAAATATTCTGTCTATTAATCTCATGAATGACTGTGTTGTTTAGAAGACCATAAAGGACGTGAAAACTTCATCAACCCTGAGTTTAGATGCACTACCACAAATTACACAACAGAGTTTTTCCTAAATAAAATATTTTATTTTAAATATAAAGCCATCAAAAAATATTTTCTGTAATCATCATAAAATTAGCTTAGCAGGTAGTTATAAGCCGATAATTGTTAGCCACTATGGGCATGTACTGCAATTACGGTAACGATATTTCCAAATAGTTGAGCGGCTTATTAGAAATAATACAGGCAACAGGCAAACGACAACCGAATGTGACATAATAAGTTTATAAAGTTTTAATATATACAATATGAAAAGAAAAACAAACGATTTAGGCAATCTGTTGGACTAGCATAGCTATTTAGCTATACTACTACATTATTGGCTCTAATATGTGCATTTTGTGGTTGCATTTTTTTTTAACTTGGGTTAGACAATTAAAAATGTGTAAACGCTAATGGTGCTTTTGCTTTAAAGAAGATAAGTGTTAACGTTTACTGTACCGGCTTTACCTGCTACTTAGGGATAAGGTTAGCATTCGGGGGGGGACCCCGCTAGCATTAGCAAGGATGTGTAAGGCAACGTATATGATAACTCGTACGTACCTATTGCTAGTGTGACAAATGATATTTGGATCACCAACGACAGCCAGCTGAGTAAATAAATAAACCACATCTCTGTGCATGTGGGAAAACAGTACAACAATTTGAAAACAGAACACAAAACAGTGCTAGCTCTGCGCTAACTAGCAGCGGCCAAAGTTCCTCCCTCTGTTTCACTGACAACCCAACAACAGAGACAAGACGTCTTTCAATATCACAAAACACGACTGCTGTAGAAACAGCGTCACATCTGGCTGGGGAGAGAAGAGAGCAGAGCAACGAGATGCTATACATACTGTATACACACACTAATATAGTTTAAATGAATAGTTTAAATATGTAAACTGTTTACATATTTAATCAGTTAACTATATAGTATTGAAAACATTGAACACAATGTGAAATTAAAGTTTAACTCTGCATAGTGTGATACATTATTGTTCGTGTTGCACAAAACCGGAAGCTGTGTTCAATACATTTATATGTTTTGGTTCAATTTAGTGGTTACCTCCAGTTTATAGCTACCAAAAAAGAATCTGGACCAACTGAATTTATACTTCAACAGCCTGGGCTAATATTTTGTTTTACTATGACTAAGTTGTGTGTAATTAAAGCTAACATTGTCATGAACTTGCTTTTCATTTTTAGTTCTGTTACTTTAGCTGTGCTCATGGGCAAAAGACAGTAAACACTGAAATGCTGGAAATCTTAAAAATGCTCCTGTAATTGGCAGAAACCACTGGACACAGTTTTAAAAAATCAGCATTGTTTGAGTCAGAACCATACATCTCACAAGGACAACCTCATAAATATTTTCATGATTAAAAATTCAACCTCAGTAAAGCCGTTGTACGTCACCATAACTCTCTACCTAACACCTGAGTCCAGGATGAGAAATTAAAAATGTATGGTAGGGAGTGGAAAAGGCAGACTCCTAGTAAAAAGAAAGGCTCAAAAAGTAAATATATAATGTAAAACAGTGTGAAGACACTAAAATGGTGTCGGAGTCAAAGGTGAGAGTAATTTCATTCTCTCTTTTTCAAAATGCTTTTTACAGAGGCAGGTAGAAATGGACGTCCAGGGTGTGAGGCTGTGTGCGTGCATTCACTCATGCATGCAGGATCTGTGAGGAGGTGAGAAAACAAAAGGCGAACTGCTGCGTCTGAAGACACTCTCAGGAGCAGGTGTGAGGGTGACCTGAGGCTCTTAGCTCACAAACACCTCAGGGCTTCAGGTGTGAGAGCATTAATGGGCCTAAATGAATGGCGGCGGGCGGCCTTCCCCCTCCGGATTAAAAGTT